TGTTACATGACAAGGCAACTATTTCCCAGTCCCTCGCAAGGGGCTTTGATTTGTGCGGGCGGAGGGAAGGAGGGGCTGCTGGCGGCGGCGCCAGCGAGCGTTGGAGCTGGGCGACAGGACCAAACTCTGCACTCTCGGGTTTGGACTCGCGTCCCCGCGGTTTCCTCCACGGCTTCCAGACCCTTTGGGGAATCCTGCTCCTGGAGGCACAGCGGAGCCTGCGGAGAGCGACCGGCACCAGCCTCCCAGTCCTCGGAGCCGCGCTTGTTGGGGCGGCGGGAGGGGCGGCTCTGCTGCCCACTAGCTCCCTCCACCCAGGGCGTGCGTGCGTTCTGGTGGCAGCAGCCGGCAGGCTGCTACCCGTGGAGCGGGAAGGCGACAGAACTTCCCATGTCTTTGCGTGGGGTCATGGGCAGGTGTGTCTGTTGTGGAGTTTCGTTTGTTTGTTGTTCTAACCCAGGACCTGGAAGCCCCTTCTCTGATCAGCGCCTCCTTCCAGCTTTGAATGGGGCAGGGCCAAGGCGGGGCAGAGACGCCTCTTCTCCTGGGACCTAAATCACAGGGGTGCGTGGGCATGCTCAGACATCAGACATTGTTCACTTGTGCAGCGAAGCTGGTTCTGGCAACCAGCAGACAGGGGAGGCCCAGCTCCTGTTGGGACAGAGACGTAGTAGTCATGTTTTACCTGTAGGGCTTTCACAAGGTAGGTGGGTTTCATGTCCATGGAGAGATTAGGGTGGAGATATATACATAAGTCTGTATCTATAGATGTAACGCCCAGAGTGACAATGGTCAGCAGTGAACTTTTCTGGGACGCGTCATCTGGGTCGCTAGGTCATCGAGGACATCTCAGGGTGGGGTGGTTAACGTCCAGGAAAAGGTCCCCAAGGGAAGTTGCATTTAAATTAAACAACCAGAAGAAAGGAAACAGTATATTTCCCACCGGTTTCCTTGAGTCTTCTCTGCCAGTCCCAGCTGGAGCCCAGTCTGAATGCCCAGCTGGGAGCTTTGGAAGCAGAGATGACGACGGTCCCCAGTACCGACAACCACCCCCGGCCTCGGGGACCTGGGGAGGGGAGCGGCCGCAGGAGCTCGGCAGTGCCGAGTAGAAAGGGAGGACGATGGCCTCCGGGAAATCTCCGAACCTAAGCGATCCGGAGCTTGGCCCGGGGAACTCCAACCTCAGTGTTGGGCTGGGTCCCGCGGGCCTCGGAGGGCAGGGTCACTGCCTGGGAGGGGAGGAAATCTGATGGCCGGTGAGAAGCCCGGTAACCATCGCCCGGGAGGTACGGGAGTAAGATGCGAGAGTGGCAATACGAGACTGGGATCAAAGCAGCTCCAGCAAGACCCTGGGAAGGTGGCCCAGAGGGGAAGGGAAAGTTTCACCGTCCCTTCTCCATTCCTTTCTCCTTTCCACCCTTCAGTGTCAGAACCAAGGGCGCTGGGACAGCCCAAGGGCAGAGCCGGTACCGAAACCCGAAGCCCTTACCCTGAGCCTGTTCCCCACGGTCTGCGCCTTCACCGGTGCTTAAAACAACCTAAGTGGCTTCTAAAGCCGGCCGACCCTGGGTCCTGGGGGCTTCTCCTGCATGCAGGGCGCTAGCTGCGCGGTGAAAAGTGCCTCCTTTCAGACTAGGCAGTTGCCTACACCAATGTGGAGCCCCGAATCTGCGAGGAACCTAGCTCAGGCTTCGGCCACATGGACCCGAGGTGGCTGGGCCTGCAGGTGGGGCCAGAACCCCGGGTTCCAGCAGGAACGAGGGGCCCAACGCAGCCCTCCACTGTATACCCAAAGCCTCCACGCACGTCTGTTGACATCCCTCAGGGCCGATCCTGAGTCCCTAAGCCCCGACAGACAACTCGGGTTCAACCCCCCGCAGGTGAGGAAGTGGGGGCGAGTAGTGGCTGCGGAGTCATATACTAACTTTCTCCGCACCCGGTTGGAAGGAGGAAGTCAGTGCCCAGGTAGGCAGCAGCTGCCAGGCGCGCTCTCCCGAACTGGAGGGTGGGAGGATGGCGGAACCGGTCAAAGGTGAGGAGTGTTCACCCCAGACATTGCGGATCCTCGCACAAAACCTCTCCCGCCAGTCCTCACGCCAACCAAGGAAGGTCTGTTCCTTAGCTCCGGAAAAGGACGCTGCCAAAGGAAATGAGAAGTGAGGCCTGCCAAAGGAGGAGGAGAAAATTAATTAATGAGGGAAAGAAATGTGTCTCTGATCCAGATGATAGACTCCCTGTCCCTGGGGGCTGAAATTCCTTGGAAATCAATAGCTGTGCATTCATTATCCCTCTCTTGATAAAATGCAAAGCTATGAGATGAGGAGGAGGAGGGGATCTGTGTTGGTCATTAAATAAGAAGGAAAAAAAAATGCCCAGGAATCTATGCCAAGACTCAGACCCCATGTGGGTATCATTAGCACAGGCAGGGGCCAACTAGTTACAGCAGTTGCCAAACCAGGAAAACAAAACAGTGACATATGGGTGAGCTGAGCCCAAGCCTGCCACCCTTTCCTTTTACCCATCAGGAGGAAAGTAGGGAGAGGCTTGATATGGTCCAGGGAACTGCCTGCAGATGTGCCAGCACACCCCATTCTTTAGCCTGGGGCTGAGGACCAACAGGGAGGAGGTTTGATAACTGTTCAAACATCACCCGCCCCATATTTCTGTATAAGTCCCTCTCATCATACCTGTTATACCTGTGCCATAGATGCCTTTTATCCATGGCTGCCCCACACACATACACTGTCACCTCCTGCAGGGCAGGTACTCATACTGTATGCCTCATTTTACCTCCAGTGTCTTGTACTGGACCAGACTACTGCTCAGCAAGCATTTGAGGGAAGAAGATAGGGTAGCAAGTTAATGAGGGAGGAGTGAAATAATTGGCTCCTGAAAAAGAACAGGCTGAAATCTAAGTGTACAGCTCTGCCTGGGGAAAACACACCCCTCCTTTTTAAAGAGAATGTAGACCACCCCCCCTCCCCGGGATCCTCCTGCAATCTCCAACCAGCCCTGGATGGTTGAACGACCCCTGGGCCACCACCTCTGCCCCACGCCACCCCAAACTGGCCTCTTCCATCCTACATACATGTTGTTTGGTGGGGCACTTTTCCTGTGTGACAAACTCCACGCTAAGTGCCATAGTGAAGATGTATGCGTCCGAGATGGGCTTCCCATCCACGGTGGGAGGGGGCAGGAGGATTGTACCCACAGCCTTCATATTTCTGGTTCCATCAAAATGCCCAATATCTTGAGCAAAGATCTGGCCACATCCCAAGGTCGGGTATTCCTGTTGTAGAAGAAGAGGTAAACAAGGAAGGGAATCTTGGTGGGACCAACTCCTAATTTCAGGCTAAGCTGGCATCTCTCTGCTGGGTTTATTGGAAGCCTCCTAGGGTTGGAGGGTGAACGAAGGTGATTTGTGGGTACTCTGGAGCTCACCTGGCGCTCAGAGGTCCCACCCAGCCACAAACCTGTACTGTGTGCCTTTCTGCCGGCCCTGAACCCTTCAGGGTCACTAAAGACCAACGTTTTTGGGGGAGGGAGGGGCAGGCTCCAGGCTCTCACTCTCTTTGGGAGTCTTTCCTCTCCCCTCAAGGGAGAGTGCAGGGAACGGCCACCGGGGGTGTCAGGAAGGGTTAGGTTAAGCCCCGATGCCGGGCGTGATGACTACTGTAGGACTCACTCTTTCCCTCTAGCGACGTCCCGCTCACCGTCCACTCCCTGTTGAGATAAAGTTGCATTTAGCGCTCCCAGGGGACCGCATAATGGATGGAGCCGGCTCCTTCTCTCACCAGCAAGTGAACATCCTTCTCACTTCCCTCTGGAGCTAGAAGGAAGGGAGGGGGTGGGGAAAAGATGAAAAGAAAGAAAGAAAAAGCCATGGTGACGCCTGTGGGCTCTTCTTGGAATCTGAGTAGGTGAGTGGGTATGGTACATACACATGTGTTTGTGCAGAGGAAAGATAAAATCCACGGAAACGCAAATTTAGGTTTATAGAAATGAGATCTGCTCTTTGGTGGAAATACAGACCTCCTTGGTGTGAGAGAGACCAGAAAGATTTATCTGATCTCTGCTTTCCAAAAGCGGCCCCTTGCTGCTCTCCAGCTCTCTTGCTGCAGATGTGATAACATCTGGGCGGTTAGGTTATTATCACCGCGAGCAAACGCTGCATCCCTGGGGACTTTGGCACCTGAACTGTGGCTCCCCTGGGAGGCTCTTGATCCGCCTGCCACATTAGGGCCATAAAACAGGTCGGCTAATTGATTTGTTCTTTTTAGATCTTAATTTCACAATAATTAAAAAAAAATTTAAAGCTGGACCAGAGCTTGTACCCGTTCTTTCAAATTGGCTTGAATTAATATTTTTGAATCGAGTTTTCCTATAAGTTAGCTTGATCTGTGTCCTATTGAAAAATAATATATATAAGCAAGCAGAGATAAGGAGCAAAAAGCCAAAACGAAGGAAGAGAAAAGAAAGTTCTCTTTTCAACATCTTATTCCCTTTTCTCTGAAGCAGTTTTCTTTTCCTGGAGTTCCCAGCATAAAGTGTGTGTGTGTGTGTGTGTGTGTGTGTGTGTGTGTGTGTGTGTGTG